CTTTGATCATGACATTTTATTTATTAAACATTTGGCTAATAACTTTAAATAGAAAATTTTGAAAACATTTTTGTCTTCTACATACTTAAATAAAGTAATTTAAAAATACATAAATTTGAAATATTTAATTCATAGGAACATTTTACAATTTTATATCTTACATTGTTTCTCTCTTGTAGAGCAAGCCAATATATGACTTTATTATATAAATTCCTTATAATAGATATAATAAAATTTGTATATTTAATTATTGTATTAAGTTTAAATTGGAGAGCAAATAAAATTTATAAGTATAATTTACAGACCTCTAACATTGTTCGCTTAATTTTATCATATTTTTAATATTGTTTTGTATTTAGAGTACAAATAAAAATTTATAGTGCCAATTAGAATACTAATTCAAAAACATTTCATAACACAAAATAAATCAACTTTTATTATTCAAATATTTCTAATAAAAGTTGCAAGTATATACTTTATTAATATTTATTTGAATCAAATTACAATATTGTAAAATTTCTATTTAACTTAAAGAAATTATTTTGAACTATTGTAAAATTTCTATTTAATTGATAAAAATTATTTCAAATTCAATTCTATTTTCTAATGACATTAAGCTAGAATTCATAAAAGATTTCTATTCATTGCTATATCACCTCGCTAACCAATATTATTATTGCTAATGTTCAAGTATTTCAGAGTAGAATTTTTACTAAGTAAAAAAGCTAGTTTTTTTTTCACATTTGGGCCCAATGTTATTATAACTTAAGTCTAATGAAGTTAATATGATATTAGTGCAAAGAGCTTTGCCAATGCTTTGTCAACTTTAAGACCACAATGGCAATTTTGAATCTTTAAGGAATTATTTATATAAAGGGCATTTCCCAGATATTTACCAACTTTATACTCTGTATTTTCTTGAATTTTATATAAACTTAAAGAAGTCAATGTGGTAGTTTGCTTAATAAATAATGCTAATTTATTCTCTAATTTGTAACCAATTTGATGATTATAAAAACCTAAATTTTTAATATTAGATGCTTTACTACAAATAGCTATGATTAATATTCTTATACCTCTAGTGTCAATTGTCATAATGTTCAAAGAATTCAAGGTTGAATTTTTATTAAGATTATTTGAAAAAGCTTTTATTGATTTCACTCTAAAATTATTACTAATGTCAGGCGAGAAATATAAGTCAATGGAGATAGTCTTAGGATTTCTAATTATTATTTTAAATTCACTTTTTCAATATACATATATTCAATATTAATAGCTATTTGTAACAATATTCTTAATATAGAATATTTTATTGCAATTTTGTAACTGACATCATTGTTTTCTTTATGCTAGGCAAGCCAATTTCTTATTCCATTGTAAAGATTATATTTTACTGGGTGATATATTTTGTATATTCAAATAATGGATTTTCAAGTTTGGAAAAAAGTAGAACACCATAATATATTAATATATTTTTTCTTGAATATTTAATGTTACAAGTAAGATGTTCATAACTATTTCATTTTCAAACTTTGGCTTGTGCTACAATAAAGGAATTGATGTTGTATACAACAGCTTATTTGAGCATATGAATATAATGTTTTGTAGAAGTTGATGTTTTTAAAATATTTTCAAGGCATTTCTGAGATAATGTGTTCATCATTTGTGAAAAATGAGTGTGAAAGAAAGACAAAATTTTAGTTACATATATACATGTAGATTTATATTCATCTGTTATCAAAAAATCAAAAAATCTAAATTTTGAAAAATCAGATGATCTATTAATCAAATTTCCCATTGGACAAAACCATTGATCAGGGTGGTTAAAAATTTTAACTATCTAATGTAATGAGTAAAAATTTTTTTTTTTTTTTTTTAAATAAATATTTTCAATGCTTTGCTCTTTTGGGTTTTAGCACTTTTAAGTTTTTAGAAATAATTTCATATGTTTGTTAAAAAATTTTTACTATATCTACAGAGGGTATGATGGGTCACCAAATAGTTTATATATATAGCAATAACTTTTTCTCACTCTCTTTTTAATAGGATGCATTAAAAAATCTAATTATGTATAGTTCATCAAAAAAAATGAGTCAAATATAACACTGATTTGAAATAGATACTCATATGAACAAATAAAACAAGAACTAGCTTGTATATAGATATAAATTTGGTATTATCCAAATCATCTCATTAAGATAGATCTAATAATACCAAAATTGTTAAATTTGGATCACTATAAAATATTAATATTTAAATAAATTTAATAAAAATTTAATTATTTTAATAAATAGTAATTCAAATTTAATACCATTTATTTTATCTTAATAAGATGATTTAAATAATATCAAAATTATCAAATTTGGATCAATAGATTATAAAATATTTGCAAAAAACTAATCTAAATTTATAATTTTGATACTATTTAATTCTCTTAATAAGGTGATTTAAATGATATTAAAATTATCAAATTTGAATTATTAGATTGTAAATAATCACAAAAAACTATTTACAATAAATCTTGTATTACAAATAGTTTTTTGTAATTATTTTAATAATTTTGATATTATTTAAATCACTTTATTAAGATGAATCAAATGCTTTGCAAAAATCTTACATTTTTGTAAAAGCAACAAAATATTCTAGATTTAGCGTAAATTATTAATAATATAGGTCTCTAACAGTAAATTTTCAAGCAAAGCACTAATTTAGCTTTTTACTAGTACTATTAACAAGGTTTTGATGAGGCTTTTTGACTGAGTATATACAAAAATTTTCTAATTTTTAAAAAACCTTATCACAACCTTGTTAATAGTGCTAGTAAGAAGCTTTGCTATGAAAATTTCCTGTTTATAGGCTTATATTATAAATAATTTATACTAAATTTAGGATATTTTGTCACTTTTGCAAAAATGTAAAATTTCCGCAAAGTGGTATCAAAATTAAGAATGTAACTATATCAAAAGTAACTATAACAAGAGCTAACTATATATATATTTTTGGGTTTACTAAAATGTACCTATGGTGTTTAATACTATAAGTACCTATTTCTCAAAAACATACTAAGTAAAGTGAATTGAGTATTTTAAGTAAAAATGTTTAGAACTCCCAAAAACTTTACAACAACTAAAATTAAAACCTTATATCTAAAATGTATTATAATATATAAAAAAAAAAAATTCATAAAAATGCACTATAATTTTAAATTTTATTAAAAACAATTATATATAGTGCTAAACACCATAGGTGCATTTTATAATAATTGCATATTTTAACCAAAATAATTGTCAAATTATTGAATTAAATTTAAATTACTTATAATATTAATTTATTTATAATTTACTAATAAGTAAATTAGTAAATTTTTTATTTATTTAGTAATACAACTTTATATTTATTAATTATATTTTTAATTACTTATTATAAATATAAAAATTATATTATTTATATAATATAAAATCAAACCAATAAATAAAAGCTTACTAGTTTAGAGTTAGCATTAAGATTAAGTTAAGGTTTGGGTAAAAGCTTTAACAAAAAATTTTAATTCAAAATTTAGTAAAAAATTTTTTTGTTAAAATATGAAAGAGGTTTTATAAATAATATTATAAGCTACAAGTAATTTTTTAAACCATTATTATTTTTTGATTTTATATTATATTTGATTTTATAATTTATTTAATTAATTAGATAAATACTCTATAGCGATAGCACATATATGCTAGTTATTTTAAATAACGATAACGATAATATTCAAGTAACAGTAAATTAACCTGTATACCAGAATCTTGATCACACATAAGTGGTTGCTTATTTCTACCTATGCTTTTGAATATTTCTAATGCATACATATTTTGGGGTTTGTTGCCCTACACGGGCCTGACGATTCGATCGTTTTGGATAAAATTTTGCACAGACTAGTATTATGTCCCTACAAAGTTACAGAGCCGTTTTTTTTTAATTGTGAAAGAATTTTTTAATATACTATAGTTTTAATTTACATAGTATGCAGCATACCCCAATGTAATCATAATCATTATTAAACGTTTAAACAAAATTTTCAATAGAAAATTTTGTTGAAAATTCGAGTATGTAATTTAGATATATGATAATTGAACCTCAAACACCATTTTCGATCTGATTAGTGAGTGATTGTAATGATGCGTAATCAATCAAAATAATCGATACTTGAGCGGTCCTTTATTGGTTCTTAATTGTCAAATGTTATTGTCATTTTGTTGTTATATTATTTAATTTCGAAAGTCTATACAGAATCTTAATTTTTGCCATCCTTCTTCTTGACAAGAACAACAGGAGAGCTTTAGAGGTTTCAAAAATTATAACCCTCATCGTCAGTTAAATGAATAAAATATATTAACCCAAGATCAACTAGTTGTAGGCAGTCGCTGATATTGGGTTATTGTGTCAAATGAAAAGGTTATTGACGGAATAGTTAAACTTATTGCTATTTTGAGTAAATAAGCTAAGAGATGATAAGTATTCGTTATTGTTTTGGGGGGAGTTTCGCGATTTTCTTTTTATTTTTCATAAAAATTTTTGGTGCGGGAAGTAAAATAATAATTCGTTGATGCCGGAGATGAATAAACACTATTTGACCAATTTGAAATATTTCCCGCTAAATAAAAGTTGTTTCCCGACGCTTTTGATTCATTGATTGAGGCGCTTGAGAACGCCCTAATAAATATACATAAGTAATTTTTCTTTTTTTCATCAATGTCTTAGCTAAAAAATTATTATATAAAAGATTAAGTAGTTTACCGATTGCAAAATAACAAATTATTTTCAAATTTACAAACGACACAAGTCGATTAATAATTGAAAGGTGACACGGAACACAAATGAATTAAATATTTTTGCAAAAATTGAAAACTTTGATGAAATATTAAGTATTGTTTAAAAAGGTATTTTTTAATGATCTAGCTAAATATTGAACTTTGATTAGTTTAAATTATTTACTAAAATTAAACCGTAAATTTAATTCAATCTCCTTCAACTCTTTCCAATCCAGTAACAATTCCATCATTTCTAAGCAAATCAAGTGCCAATCTTGCAGAATTAGTAACACAATCATTAATGCTAACTCCAAAATAACTCGCTCCTCCAACGCTCAACCTTTTCCCATATTTTTTCTTGATCATATAATGTAATTCTTTCATTCTGGAATAATGCCCAACATAATATTGTGGTATACACTTTCTATGAATTTTTGCCATGCATTGTAAGGGAGTTAAATATATCCCTAATTGTTTTTCTATTGTTTCAACTGCTTTACTTAACAGTTCATCTTTATTTGGATAATCGTTTTCTGAAAGATCATTATAATAATGACCTCCCATCATTACCGTAAGTTTCGTGTATTTATCCTTTTTATAATCTTGATGGGGCATGGCATCAGAATCGAATACCACTCCAAGGACATGATATGGATTGCTTAGTGTTGTATGTGGAATTAAATATCCAAATCCTTTTACTGGCAGCAAATTTTGCCGGCCATATGCAATGTTTACAACTGCAACCGTTACTGAAGGATTATATGTTAAATATGGAAGATCAGGAAGAAGACATGCCAATTCGTGTGATGGAATGGTGCTAATAATATGATCAGCTTTGAATGACCCATCATTTGTACAGACCTAAAAAAAAAAAAAGTTACAAATCATAAGAAAAACTCCTTCCTATTTTTTCATTCAAGAAGCATGCAATTGAATAGAACACAAGTATAACTCAAAAATGTTTACTTACTTCTATCTCTTTATCAAATTTCAATTCTTTTACATGATGTGACGTCTTTATAGTTACATTTTCTCTATCCTTCAAATCATTAACAATAGCATATACCAATTGTTCAATACCATTTGCAAAAGAATAAAGACTCGTAGTGCTCATAAATGCGAAAAGATCTTTGTTCTCTTCACAAAGTAAATTTAACCAATTTTGATCCTTCTGAGAAAGTGTAGATAACTTTCTACTGTTAATCGTGCCTTTAATTACCGATCCATAGATTTGTTCCATATCAAACATTTGTTTAAATGTGGACTTAACCGAAAGTTTCTTTATGTCACCTGCGTAAATTCCATGAACAAGTGCGCTCATCAATGTATCAGCCAACGTTGAATTAAATCTTCTGGAAATAAAACTATGAATACTTTCATCATCCAAATTTTTGAGTGGTTTGATAAATGGTTCACGTATTACTGAATATAATGAAGATAACATAAATTTATTCTGTACAATACTTTTTAAACCTGGAAATAAGCCACCCCCTGGAAGTTGAATGAGACGATCCGGGTAATATAAATAACGATTTTTCGCAGCTGGCTCATTTTTACCAACTGCATGAATGTACCCTGTTAAATTCAATTTTGCTGCCTTAATATATATTTTAACCGTCCAAATTACGTATATATGCGCGAAATTAGCAAAATTTATAAAATGTAAGAACATTTTTTGGTTACAAATACTAATTTTTTACCATATCCAGTATAATATATGCACCTAATCCACTAGGTCTCAAGGTTCTAGGGCCTTGTTCAAAAAGGATCCTTTCTTCTCCAACACGAGTACTTTGTATCCATCCTCCAAATCTATTCGATGCTTCTAACAATGTAATTTTTGTTGAGGATGGTGCATTACGGGCCAAATACCATGCTGCTGTTAAACCAGAGATGCCACCCCCAAGAATGATAAAATTTTGTGGTGGCATTTTTTTTTAGTTGAAAATTTTTTTTTTGGTACGCACGTACGTACGTACATATATAGTCTTAAACTGGTTATCACATCTAATCTGCGGTATCAATTTAACAATAAATGCTATATGGTTTTTTTTTATACGAATTTATGCGGTTCGTTTTATGCATGTTCCTAGCAAATTAAGGGTTCTCGTAATTCTTTTAATACAAGTCAATTACGAAAAATACAACTGACTTCTTTAAAAACATGGTAAATGCCAAAGAACGCTTCGTAAAATAACCCAAATATAATAATGAAGCAAAAATTTGTGATTGAATATATAGCATAGGCACTTTTTAAATTTTAATGAAAGAAAAATCGTTACCTTTTAAAAATTAGACAATTGTATTTCATAAACATTTAATTGGTTATTATATAGCATGTACAGTATAGCTTTTTAAAACAGTAACTCTGCTTTCAAATTTTTCTTAAAAAAGTTCATCTTAGAGTTTTATATACTAGCTGATTGATAATTAAATTCAATTTATTTATGAAATTTGCGTATTCATTATTATATCCCGATATTTCTATAAATGAAAACATCAAATATGAGATTTTTATTAGAAGATACTGTAAATATATATATTAGATTGTCTCAATAGTACTAAAATAAACTTAGAATATAGAGGGTTGAACTTTTGATTTCGTTTATTCAATTACGTATATACATTTTAGTAATTAGCCAATCATATTTAAAATACAGATCAGTAATCATGTGGCAATGCGTTATCTATAAAATTGATAGTTTATCAAACATCTGTTCAACATACTTTTTTTGTTATGACTTTAATCAGGCAAATTCCAACTTTATGCAAGATTCATCTACTTCGTTCTCGATCCATAACTGTCTTCGAAAGAAAACAGCTTGCTCAAAAATTAATTTTATGTAGCAATGTTTTAGCTAGAAATAACGCAAGTGTTGCAGAAGACGTAAAAAAGAAAAAACATAAACATAACCCTTACGCTATTGCTATCAATACTCCCTTGCCATCTCGTGTTGCTCCAGATGCAGAGACCGATGAATATATACTTGAGGGACTTAATGGTACGTTTCATTTTTAATTATTTTATCAATTTGATTATATTATGTTCTTATCCATATTTTTCTTCAAATATTTAGACTCCATAGTTGGCAAAGAGGAAGAAGAAATTGGTATAAAAAAATATAGTTTTTTTTTTTTTTTAATTCGTTTTTTATATTTAATAATTGATAATTAAATTTTAAAAAGAATGGACCGATCCACAAGAAGCGTCCACAAAGCAAGGTTTTACCATTAATTTTGGTCCTCAGCATCCAGCTGCCCATGGTGTACTTCGTATGATTCTAGAATTGAAGGGTGAACAAATTATTCGTGCAGATCCTCATATTGGTCTTTTACATCGTGGAACTGAAAAGCTTATCGAGTATAAGTCATATCTTCAAGCCCTTCCTTATTTTGATCGACTAGATTACGTTTCAATGATGACCAATGAACAATGTTATTCATTGGCTGTCGAAAAGTTGTTAAATATTGAAATTCCTGATAGGGCAAAGGTTATTCGGACTATGTTTGGAGAAATTACTAGAATTTTGAATCATATAATGGCTGTTATGTCTCATGCATTGGGTAATTATTGTTCAGTTATTTACCTTTTATTTTCAATTATTCATTTCTTAAAAGTTCTAATTTTATTGCTCAAAAGAATGGATTTGGCTTGAAAGATTCCATTGACATCAATTACGTATAACTATATATAATATACTTTTTCAGATATTGGTGCATTATCCCCTTTCTTATGGATGTTCGAGGAACGTGAAAAGGTTGATGAATTCATACTCTATTTAAACTATTCAATTTATTTTTTAATTATCCCGATTTATATAATATAACGAACGGTACATTTATGTATTGTTATTTCTACAATAGTTAATGGAATATTATGAGCGTGTTTCCGGTGCTCGTTTACATGCTGCATACGTGCGTCCTGGAGGTGTTTCACAAGATTTACCTTTAGGTTTAATGGAAGACATTTATCAATGGGCTACTCAATTTAGCGCTCGCGTTGACGAAGTCGAAGAGGTACTAACGGGAAATCGCATATGGATAAACCGTACAAAAGACATTGGAATCGTTACCATGCAAAATGCATTGGATTACAGCTTTTCTGGGGTGATGCTACGTGGTTCTGGTGTCAAATGGGATCTGCGTAAAGTTCAACCTTATGATGCATACGATAAAGTTGAATTTGATGTACCAATTGGTACAACTGGTGATTGTTATGATAGATATCTCTGTCGTGTTGAAGAGATGAGACAAAGTTTGAGGATTATTAATCAATGTTTGAACATTATGCCACCTGGACCCGTGAAAGTTGATGATTGGAAAATAGCTCCACCAAGTAGGGCATCTATGAAAGAGAATATGGAGGCATTAATTCATCATTTTAAATTGTACTCGGAAGGATACTCGGTTCCTCCTGGTGAAACTTACACTGCAATTGAGGCCCCCAAGGGAGAATTTGGCGTGTTTTTGGTTTCCGATGGTGAGCTTCGTTGGTTCTCATAACTCTGCAGCATTAAATTGAAAATTATAATCATAATTTCGTATATTTTTAGGAACGAATCGTCCATATAGATGTAAGATCCGTGCTCCAGGCTTTGCTCATCTTGCAGGATCGGACTTTATGTCTCGCGGACATTATATTCCTGATATGGTCACAGGTATTTATAGACAATCTACATCTAATATGTATAATATTAATTAACACAAACCTTTTTTTATTATTGAATTAGTAATTGGTACTATGGATATTGTGTTCGGAGAAGTAGATAGATGAGCGAGATGAATATACTTTCTTATATTATGCTGATAATTATGAATTTATAATTTTGTATATTGTATAATGCTTTTAGCTTAGTGCTTGCCTAAGTAAAAAAGATATATATATGTGCTGGCTTATAATACATTGGAATATATAAATTTATTTATTTTAAAAAAGTTTTTTTATAGTGGTTAAATTTTAAGGCAATTATGTACAATATAAAAGATTTAAGGGTAATTGCCCTCTGAAGGGTACAATAAATAGTAAATTTCATAGTAAAAAATAGAACTTATTGTAATTTTATAATGCAGAAATGCTATGAGATTATAATTTTTTTAAAAAAATCTTTTTTTACTATAAAAACCTTTTTTGGATTTCTGCCTCTGCTTTTAATGATAACTTTAGCTTAATTTATTTAGAAAATTATATATAAATAGAACTTGAAATTTAAAATTTGATTTTTATCGCGTATTTCGCGTGCACATGACTCATCGTTTTTAATACTTTTTAAAGCATAAAAAATTGTTGTCTTTTGTCTTTTTCATAATGGAGACGTGACCACCTTTGAGATGTTTGAACTTAAAATACTTGATATAAGAAATGTTTTCGGTGTTTTCTTGAACGTATAATGTATTAAGATCTTAATTCGAATTTTTGCAGAATTGTGTGACAATTATTTTTTAACTTCAAATGATAAATCTTGCCAACTTTAAAAGCACAATTACAATCATTATTAAAAAAAAAAAGCAATAGTTATAGGGGTTATATAATATTGCAAAGTGCAATAATTTATATTATTAGTTAAATAATTGAACCTTTTATACTGTATATAGTATAGGTAATTTACAGTATTTTATATTTTAAAAGTTTTTTTTGTTGTTATTGTTGTTAAGATCTTGGAACTAGACTTTTATTATGTATAAACTATTAAACTATCAAAATTTTTTTAAATATCATTTGTTTTTGAAAAGGTATATTAATTTTAACTAGTTGTAAACCCGTGCAATAATGCACAGGAATAAACTTATAAAATTTTTAAATATAATTTTAAAATAAAATAAATATATAGTAAAACTT